TCATCATACTGGTGTTTAATCTCATCATACTGGTGTTTAATCTCATCATACTGGTGTTTAATCTCATCATACTGGTGTTTAATCTCATCATACTGGTGTTTAATCTCATCATGCTGGTGTTTAATCTCATCATGCTGGTGTTTAATCTCATCGATGTGGTTTTTATTCCCACGATAGTTGATTTTGGTCTCATCACAGTGTTTCTTCAGGGTTGGTAGTACGATATCATCATTTGGCTCCTCTGAGTTGCAGGCTTTAAACAAGTTATGTTGAACCAGAACTAAACCAGGTAGATGAAAACCCAGTCCTGAAGCAGACCCTGCTGAGACCTGTGGTCCATGTTTGCAGGTGTGAAGGAGAGCAGTCAGAGCAGCATCTTTAAGATCCTGGCCTCTGTTCTCCACCTGGGGAACGTGGCCATCGTGGCCGAGCGGGACGGGGAGTCCTGTCGTCTCTCGGTACGTGGACCCGTGGATCTGCAGCCCCGGTGGTTTCTGTGCCCCCCTGACTGAGAGGTCTTTGTGTTTCAGAGGAACGATGCCCACCTGCAGCACTTCTGCAGGCTGCTGGGGGTGGAGCTAAAGCAGATGGAGCACTGGCTGTGCCACAGGAAGCTGGCCACAGCGTCAGAGACCTACGTGAAGAGCATGTCCAGCAGGCAGGCGCAGAACGCCCGCGACGCGCTCGCCAAGCACATCTACGCCCGCCTCTTCGACTGGATCGTCCAGCACATCAACAAGGCTCTGCAGACCTCCTCTAAGCAGCACTCCTTCATCGGAGTCCTGGACATCTACGGGTACGAAGCCCTGGTCCTGGTCCTGGTCCTGGTCCTGGTCCACCTCATGAGACGGTTGTTTGTGTCTCTGCAGGTTTGAGACGTTTGAGGTGAACAGCTTCGAGCAGTTCTGCATCAACTACGCCAACGAGAAGCTGCAGCAGCAGTTTAACTCTGTGAGTTCTGTAGAACCCATCCGGACCTTCAGGTCCACGTTTGTCTCATAGCTCTTCTTCATCTTCTTCTTCGTCCTGCCGCTCCGTGTCCTCAGCACGTCTTCAAGCTGGAGCAGGAGGAGTACATGAAGGAGCAGATTCCYTGGACCCTCATCGACTTCTACGACAACCAGCCCTGCATAGACCTGATCGAGGCCCGGCTCGGGATCCTGGACCTGCTGGATGAGGAGTGTAAGGTGAGACCGGCTCCTGTCCAGGTCCACAGCAGGACCGCTCGGTCTCGGTGGGTGTGCCTGAGTCAGATCAGCTGATCTGGAACCAAACTCTGTCCCAGGTTCCAAAGGGGACGGATCAGAACTGGGCCCAGAAGCTGTACAAGCAGCACTCCAGCAGCGCCCACTTCCAGAAACCCCGCATGTCCAACATCTCCTTCATCATCATCCACTTCGCTGACAAGGTGAGCCCACCACAACCCAGACCCTGCAGGGGCCAGAACCAACAACACACTCTTCAGAACCTCCTGATGGTTCTGATGCACTTCTGATCACTGACCAGGGTCATTATAGTTAACTGGACTGATAACTGACTAAAACTGTTTAATGTTTTTATAAAACTAACTAAAACTGTTTAATGTTTTTATAAAACTAACTAAAACTGTTTAATGTTTTTATAAAACTAACTAAAACTGTTTAATGTTTTTATAAAACTAAGTAAAA